CATTCTCATCGTCGTCGCTTCCGGTTCGAGCCGCTGCACCAAAGAAAACGATGCGTATCTGAAACTGGAACGAGACTTGCGGAACACGAGACAAGGAATGAGGTGAAATTGTAGAGATTTCAGCGAGATACGTGCATTCGATGGTGGTTCCATCTGGTGATGAAAATGATGGAGAAAGAAGTCGCCAAGTTTAGATGTAAATCGTTATATTTATTGTTTATCGTATGTTATTCATTACTTAGAATTTTATTTATCTACTTGCTTGCTCATTGATTGCGCGGAATAAAAATATATTGCAAATTACTATGGTTGAACGTGGAAATTAAATAACAATAGATCCTCTAAATTATTATTATAATATTAGTGTCACGTCCCAAACTACCAATAGCGCGAGTGAGCGTTTCAATTTGAGATTCAGATAAAATTTAAGAATTTGTATAGAAACCAAAATCGAGCCTCACAACCCCCACGGAATGACGTGGGGACACATGTCACATGACGACCCCTCCAAGGTCGTAAGGTAATTATAAATAAGCCTAGCGATATAGAAGATAGAGAGATAATTCCTTAGTTCAGAGTAGTTAATTCCTCAGTTGTGTGTGATTAGTTCCTCAGTTCTTGGTGATTAATTCCTTGGTTCTTGGCGATCAGTTCCACATTTCTTGGCAAGTAATGTTCATAGCGATTAGTTCTCAATTCCTTTAGCTCTTAATTTCTCAGTTACTTTGTCTTTCAATTCTTTAGTTGCTTAGTTTTACAGCTCTTAGTTTTTTTGCTCTCAATTCTTAAGTTCTTTAGTCCTTTAGTTCCTTAGCTTTTAGTTCTTTGTTTCATTAGTTCCCAGTTCTTGTCAGTTTTGTTAATCGACGTGTTTGTACCTGCCAATTTATAAATTATTGAAAATCAATCAAATTAAAATCTTGTAATTAATAAGAGTGAAAACGCATCGCGAACGATCGTAACTTCGAGTATTCGAAATCTCAACGACAATTCTGTCAATATCTAATTAGAATTAGAATAAACATTTGTTGTGGAGAATATTTGTCTAATAATATAATAGGATTAAGCGAACATTTACTTTTACCAACTTTAATCCTCTCCCGTGCCAGTATTCCTGCGCGTAGCAGGTTAGCCGAAACGTGCAGTTTAATTGCGAAACGCATTAAACATCAGACAGTGCTACCATGTAATCTAAATTCAAAAATTAACGGCAACACAACCAAAACAAACCAAACAAAAACGTAACATTAGACAATCGTACATCCTCTTTGAACAGCATAGAAAAAAGTATTGAAGATGGTAAATTCTTAGATAGAGGAGAAGATTTTTTTTTTTATTTATTTATTTAAATTTTACAATTTGTCCAGTAGGACATTTGGTAAAGTATTATAGCGGTATACTAATATATCGTGTGGGTGGCTACCCCCAGCGGGGTACCATCATCGTGTTTGTTAGGTTATGTCCTTTGTGAGATCTGGGAGGAAAAGATGGCCAACCAATTGTGATGGTTTAAGGTTAGGTTAGGAAAGTGGGAGAATTCTGAGACATAAAATCTGACATATGAAATATCGAGTATACGTGGCTGAGAAACTTCGCAACATAGCGATTCAATGACTCAATACGTATCGTGGTAGTAATAAACGATTATGCCGGAATAACTTTTAATAAATTTCTATTGACATTTACTCGAACAAACGTTCGCTTAACGAATTACCTGAAAAAAAAAAGAAACAAACAATGAGATGATTCGGTGATAATAAAATCTGGAAGAAAATTGAAATCTACATTTCACTTTCTTCTGCAAGGTTTTAAAATAGAAAAATATTTGTTCGTTCTTATCCGTTGACGGAACAAGAGAAACGAAAATCCTGGCTGATGTTTCGCTTCTATCCGCAGACTTGGTATCTTCTCGAAACAGGCAATCGAGGTTTTCGAGGCGAACGTAAGTATTTGTGCAGCTAGTCGACAGCAGGAGAAGGAAAACGACGATGACGACGACGACGACGACAGGTTGTTATTGGAACCGCGGGAATAAGATATCTTCCATCGAATAAGAAGAAAGAACACTGCCTGTACGTGCTCTGTACCGAATAGTAGAAAAGTTAACCTCTCTGTAACACCATGTGACTCGAACGTGTTCCCACTATCGATGAAAAGCTTTCGAATCGTCAGCATATTTCTCTAGGTTTTACGTTTCTTTGTGGTCATATGAAAGATTTCTCTCCTAATGATCTTACAACTTAAGATTCTAACCTTACGTTTTTCTATTGCAACCACGTTTCGTACTTTCTTCTATGCGTTTGAATAGGAAATGATATTGCGTACGGAAAAATCAACGCTTAGAAATTAAACGAATATATTACACTGTATATGCTTGTAGGAATATACGTTGGATCGTTGGATTTTCATTAGAAATGAGACATTCATAGGTACAAGTAAGGAAGAGTATAATTTCGTAAATTCAGATTTCCTGTAATTATATACTTTTCAATAAATGTTATCAAATTTTAATATCACAAGTTCGAAGGCGCTATTGAAAAGAAAAGATTGAACTTCAACTATACGTTTTGCGATATTTTACTGTCAGATTGTATTATACTGTTAGATCGTCATTGATATTTCAAATTCTAAATTAAATTTAGAATTTTATTTAATTTGATTTTAAAAATTAAATTCCAAATTAAATTTACGTAATAAATACCAATCATCGAATCGTCGCATAGGTTTAAAATTCGCCTAAAAGGTTTCCCCAAAATCCATCTAACCCCTCCAAAAATAAAAATTTCCAAATCACGAGAGGTGTCTGTAATTAGAATCCAAAAATTAGAAAAACTGATAAAAATCTTCTTAAAGTACACTCGGTTCCCTCGAAAAGAAAAATGTTAAAATTGCCAAAAGTTTCTGTAATCGGAGGACAAAATGTAAAAGTAGAAGCTTCGATTGTATCGAAACGCAAAGAGATACGATAGCTTAGTGAATTTCGCGTTATTCTTTAGCATAGAAACCTCGAGAGCGGGACAAAAGACTGCGTTCGCGTGCGTCGCTCGCAGAAAAATATAGACGCGGCACATCGTAACCTTCGTGGCCCGAATGAACGTTTAAAAATTCCACGGTTGACTATCAGACGTCGTGACCAAGCGTAAAACGATATCTTCTTGGCTGAGAATCGGCACGTTGCTCTCAGCCACTGGGAATCGAATTATGGGCATGCAAAATTCCAAGAGGTTAGTGTCTTCTGATTCACAATTTTCATCTGCCACGTACTCGCCAACCCATTCGCCGAAATCTTCTGTGTATTTTATAACGAGACTTTTTCCATTAAAATAAATTTCACAGAGACTAAAATATTTTATAAAACACAAGACTACTTTCTGATTAAACTGAATTTTTTACAAATTTTATAAAATACAATTTCGTATACCGTTTGGTTTTTCAATAAAAAAAAAAACCCGTAAAAGTTAGCAAATTTTATAAAATACGAGACTATTTTCTCGTTGAACTAAATTTCCTAACAATATCGTAAGATGCGATTTCAATAAACGTGACAGATTTTTCGCAATGTTAGCATGTTTTACGTAAGAAGAGCGATTGTTACGTAAGAGTTACTTTAAAAGGCAAAACAAGAAGGTGTTCGTGAAATACTAAATATGACCTATAGTCGAAATAACCAGAGTGCACGAACTATTCGAATTAGTACTACGATTAGTCACCCACGAGAGTATACGCATAACCTATAAAAATTTAGTTGTCGACCTTTGACCTGAAATGTGACTTATAATGAAAATTGCTTTGTGTAATCATTTTGATTGCTTTTGATTTCCCTCTTCAGTCTTGATACTCGGTCATTTTCTACGTTTTCATCGAAGCTATAATTTTCATTGAAATGATTGAAGCATAGATATTTTTATCTACTCAAGAAATTTTGATTAGGTACGTCGTTTTTTTAGTACGCAAAATCTTGAGTAAATAAAATAAAAAAATATTTATTGCATATAGCGAAACTTGAAATTTTGATAAAACCGTGTCCATCGAAGTAAAAAAATGTTTATTAGCTTTAAATTAATCTTGAAATTTTGATAGGATCGTGTAATAATTCAAAAGATCTTAATTAATAAATTTTCTCCACAAATTTCTCTTGAAATTTTGATAGGATCGTGTAGTAATTCAAAAGATCTTAATTAATAAATATTCTCTACAATTATCTCGAATCGATATTTCTTTTGATAATTCAGTATCAGCTCCCTATGCATGGAATTTTAATAAATCAAATACGTTGATTATTTCATCCTTAGAAAATTATGCATGACATTACTAATTATTCGTTCTTTACATTTCCATGGTGGATGCAGCGCTTCCATGAAATGTAGTAATGAACAAAATTATTAAATACGTGTGACTCGGCGAAACAGTAACATTTATGAAAATCATGCATGAAATGGAGAGGATCGTACGTAGGCAAAATAACTTGCAGCGAGATTCCTTCACTTATTTAGCAATATAGCTTCGTCCGAGAAAAGAAATGTTATCATACTCTTTCTACTTGTGTCTTCGTGTGCGTACGTGTAACATATAAAGTCTTATTTATACAAAACCTCAATTTACGTAAGATCTCAATTCGTCGATTAACATTAACACTTTGGCTACCACGTGGGTTATATATGACCGGCCAACGGTTTCTCCTGTGACGCCACAGTGGTCATTGATGATCGTAGCGCTCGAATTTCTTACCATTTTAAAAATTATATGAAAATTGACAGTTAGGACAGTTTTGAATATAACCGATAAATAGAAGATACTTTGAAAAAAAGTGCCTCATTGAACAATTAAACATACATCGGACCGACGATACATCGTTGGACCTGTCGACACTTCGACTTTCTCGCGACATTGTTTACAGTTCGCCCGATATCTCTTAGGCCTTTCGTCCATGATACTACCACAGAATGAGCAAGTACTGTTTACTAATATTTTTTACACGTTTCAACAATATATCCTACAGGTTTTGCTTACGACGGAATAACGAATGCGAATGGTTTGTTGACATAAACGAAGCCTTGTTATAATATGTCGCTATCGAGTGTTACCAAGGTGCCACCTAACCCCAATAAGATAAATGGTCCATTGGGTAAGAATTTATTATTATTTTGCCATTATATGCTTTGAATAATAAAAATACTGCCGTGGCGTCTTCAGTGAAGCATGTGATTTTCGCGTGGCAGTCAAAGTGTTAATGTACAATTTCTACAAAAGAGAAACGATTTAAAGTTGCATTTAAGATAATTTTAAGGAAATTTAAAATAGTTTCGCAGAACAAAAAATAGGGAAAATTTGTCTGGTCGTTCGATACGTGGCTAGCCGGAGGCGAATACGTTCCATCAAAGCCAAAGTTAAAAATATGGCATCGATTATCCATTATCTGGCGGAATTTATATTGGTAAAGAGCAGATAATGGCTCACACCTAGAACACCGCGAATAGTAATGCGTCGGATAATACATATGTATATTAATGGAAATGCATTCGTTCAACTTAATTACTCTTGATCATCCTCCTCTGCGTTCTATCGATACCCTGAACGATGCTAATCGAGATAATGTACAGAGCATTTCCAAAAAAAAAAAAAAAGAAGTATGTTACTAGATATGAAGACAGTGGGAATAATTCATGTACAAAAATCATTTAAGAAACTATCGGGTTGGCAACTAAGTAATTGCGGATTTTGTCATTAGGTGGTATTGACAAAATCAGCAATCACTTAGTTGCCAACACAATATATGAGCCACTTGTTTTCTGATTAAAGTAATTAAGCATGGTTGATATATTGATAAACATAAGATTGGAAAAAGTAAATATAAATGTAAGGGAAGCAGTTGTACAGAATTTGTAAGGAGTCAGGTATAAAACTTGCTTGCCAAATTGATTGATTTCACAAAATGAGAAGCAGAGGAAACTGATGAAATTATATAGAAATTAGGTAAATTGGATAAGTCGATCGATCAATAAACTCGCACACAACACTGTTTTGACTCAAAACTTCAAAAATTTCAGAATGTCATCTACTTTAGTCTATGAAAGGCTTGCATAACTTAAATCATGTAACTTGTTTGTCAAATGACGAATAAATAAATGTTACATTAAAAATACATTAGTAACTTTAACAGCCTTAAATGTAAATAAAATATTGATTGTGGGATTTTAACTAAGAACAACAATATAAATATCCTCCACAATTTTTTAACACGCTGTAGATGATGTCATTGGCTCCATTAGCGACCAGTGGCATTCAGGGCACTTTAGCATTCCCTTAGAAGATTCCATAGTCCATTTGCTTGAACGTAACGTGATAAATTGTCGAAGATTCGTTGATGAATCTAACGACGACGATCGATTCTTCGTGTTATAAGTGATTCGAAATATTCTCGAGTTTGGTAAATGAATCTTGCTCGTGGCTGTCATCCTAGCGAATTCTAATTATTATGATTGCCCAGTGAGTGGAAAATCGATCTGTGGCTCGGTTTACGAAGAATTTCATAAGTTAGCTCGTATGAAGGCTGCTGATGATATGATGTCGTTCCTGAATTGGTAGCATGAATTTACAGTAGTTACAAACAGTATTTACACGCTGTTATTTTCATTGGAGACCATTTACATGCTAATTACTTAGGACCAGATATATTAAAGTTCGTCTCGTTTAATGGTACTTTTATGTGACTAAATGTGATTAAATTTGGTGAGGTAAATTTTAGGCAACCGGTAGATCTGGTAGTTATTTGGAAAGAGAAATCAAGACGTGTGTATGTTTCTTCAAATTTTATTCATATTTTTCACAATCGTACATTTTCTCTCATTTTTGATCTTCTTAACTACTCTAGGTCCAGCTCTGGTGGTAACCCCTTCTGCTAGGTGCACAGATCACATCTGAAAAAAGACAAAATTTGACTTAATTGATCACCTCATCCAGAGAAATCGAAAATCCTATCACAAAAATACTGATCAAGCCCTGAATACTTATACAAATTTACGTTTTTATAAACACAGCTGAAGAAATGAACGGAAACCAAAACAGAAGCTTTCTCACTCAGTGGATACCAATAGCACTGCATAATATTAAAATAGTTCAATACCGTTAGAGTAATATTGTTTGTACCAACATTGCTAAAGCATTGCTAAGAGTATCGCCAAATACTTCAACTTACATGATGATGCATACGATGGGTCATGGGAACCATATGGCGGCCCATACTTCTCTCCTTATAGATCCTCATAGCAGGCTCCATGAAGACAGCCGAGGCCAAAGTAGGAACTTGCTGTTTAGTGCAGCTGCACTGCATAATACTCTGTTGACATTGTTGACACTGAGGTACCTTGACATAAGTGGCCACAGGTTCAGGTTCAGTAATCATCATAACAGGCTTGGGGGGAACCACCATCATTTGTTCCTCGTACGCAGGCCTAACAGGCTCCTTCTCTATTTTAGGGGCCACGATCTTCTCTGGTTTAGGTTCAGGCTTCACAATCTTCTCTTTGATAATAGTTTCAACCACTGGTTTCACAGGTTTCTCTTCTTTTGGTGGTTGAATGATGTTGACGTTGGTTTGAGAAGGTGGACAAGGTTGAGGCTGTTGGATGAATTTCAAGGAAGTTTGAGCAGGAGGTTGAATCACATTGAGGGTTTGAACTGGCTGAGGAGCAGGTTGGATGCTGAAAGTTTGAACTGATTGAGGGACAGCTTGGATATTGAGTGTTTGCACTCGTTGGGGTACTTGCTGAATGTTCAACGTTTGAACAGGCTGAGGAGCAGCTTGGATGCTATAAGTTTGTGCTTGAGGTACCATGCTACCTGAATCCAGACAGATGACTGATTTCTTGGATCTAGCCTGGTCGTCTTCTTCTGTCTTGTCGATCTTCAGATTATGGCCTTCGTCCAGTGATTTCTCGTTGATGTTCGTTGGAACTGCCTGGGCCAGAGACAGACCCAAGAAGAAGAGGAAGAAAGCAACTTTGGAATTCATTTTTTTAGTTGGATTGTTCTTCGAAGTCGAACTGTGAGGATCCTGATGAGGAGCTCGGTTTTTATAGGGATTTGGTGAAATACAGTGACCTGGTTTTATTTAGGAAGCACGCGTATATACGCAATGGTGCTGAGTGAGCGTAATTTGAAGGTATTGAGCCACTTTGTTGACGCGATAGTGGATTATTGGTTTGTCGGCGTGTTACCATGCGTGAAACGGTTCCGCGAAACTTTCCAAGATAGAGAATTTCTTGTATTAAGTTGCTTTACAAGCATTTTATAAAGTATGCGGCAATATGCAAATTATACGATATTTTTGGAAATACAAGACAGAAAAAAAAGATAATTTCTCCAATTTCTTTAGTTTCTTTAACTCTCTAAATTTCTTTAGAGCTTTTCACTTCCTCAATTTCTTAAATTTATTCAATTACTTTACATTTTGCAATCTTTTTAAATATCTACAGTTTTGTGCAATTTCTCTATTTTTGTAAATTGCATTTTTTTCTAAATTCATAGCTTTAAAATAGCGTTAGTGACCAGCAATGTGTAATAAATGACTCGTATAAGTGTAAGTAACAGGGTGTCGGTTAATTTTATTCGAAGCAACGCCTATTTGATCGAGGTTAGACCTTCGAGAACAAAAGATCGAAGTTTAGCTGGAAAGGAACATTAACTCGGTATCTTTTACGGAATTCTACTTGCAGAAAAAAATTTTTCAAATTTTGAACATAAAAATAACGGTACGTGCGTCAGATCTTGGTACCATTTTAAATTAACGGAACAGTATGTTTGACGATGATAAAATTCATAAATTTATTGTTATGACCGTAGAAGCTTTAAACGATCGACTGTCATTTTGAACGTTAAACGATTGATTGACGTATTTTTACGATTTAAATCAAACGCAAATTAATTAAAAAAAACACAAGTTAATTATTTTATTCATTTTTTATTATATTATTCGCAGACAAAATGGACGATTCTTCACTAGGCTTTCTCGGTTACTTTATTTCTGTCTGGTTTTGTTAATGCATATAATAGATCAAAGGGTTAATATTCATAGTTGTTGCGTAGCCGTGTGTTTGAGAATAATACGGAAACATCGGATGCAGTGACATTACGTTTTACTGCAAGAACATGTAACTCGATAAATAAACTCGATTAAGAAACACGATTAATAAACTCGATTTCGTCATCGTCATGGTTACGATGATTATTGTTATTATTGCATAATGTTTCCAAAATAAGAATGCATGTTGCATACAGGTTGAACAATATTATTCAGCTGATATTCGTTTCGTAATTGAGAAACAGTAGTGAGATATTTCGTCAAGATCACGCGTTCGTATTTATGATTTAAACAAATAAAATAAAAGGAAGAATATCGGGAGAAGTATCATTTCGTCATTTTATTTATCCTACGGATATTACATAAGAGTGAAACTTGTATCTTCGTTTAATTTTATTTATTCCCAAGCTATATATACAGGGTGATTGGTAACTGGTGGTACAAGCGGAAAGGGGGTGATTCTACGCGAAAAAAGAAATCGAAAATATAGAATAAAAATTTTTCGTTCGAGGTCACTAGATGGCATTGACAAAATCCGCAATCACTTAGTTGCCAAACCAATATACTACAAAAAAAGAAGAGAAAGGAATGAAATTTGCTAGCTTGAAAGAACCCATTCTCTGCCAGTTTATTTTTCACAATACACCGATCCTTCTACGGGAAAAGGGGAAAAACTCATTTCACTGACCATTTTCCTCCGACGTCCAAAGTTGAATCAAACCAAGGTTACACGAAACCCTAACCTGCTTTGTAATTCTCCTCAGGAGTCTCTCTTTTTCCTCTTCAATGATCGAATTGTTTCTTCCCCGTCGGTTTGAAGAGAGAATACGTTTTAATCTCAAAGCAGTGCCTTCTCTCTTCTTCCAAGAATCACTGTACTTCTTCCTCCTCTTTGATTAGAACACACCATTGTAGGAGAGCTTCATGGAAAGTTATATATATATATATATATATATATATATATATAGTAGAGTGCACGGCGTAACGAGATCGTAAAAATAAAAATCGAGTAAAAGTAATAGTACTTTACTTTCCTGCTTCCGTTTTACGTTGCATTGGTAGATTCCTGTTACCTGTTGTTGTTTTACTACCTTTGGTGCCTTCTTGCAATTTCTTTTCTAATGTGTTCCTTAGCACATTTTTCATTGAATTGTTCCTTTGGATGCCTTTTTATTATCGGGATTCACTTTTTGCCGTTTTCGCACTCCTTTTCCTATTTTATTTCCTAACTACTTTATTTAAAATGATGCTTCAGAATATCGTCTAACTGGAGTTTTCTCAACTGTAGCAGCCTAATTTTTAGGTTAGGTTTTCAAAGAAATGCGTTCTTTTATTATACAATATTCTATAAGAAGAGAGATCTCTTTTGATCTCATTACAAAACGTAATTCTTTTACTTAAAATGATATTTTAGAACATATGTTTTTTAATTATTTTTAATTATTATCATTCTAATTTGGAGGTTAGTTCTACAGAAAATGAATCGTTTCTTATCGCGGTGATAAGTAATCTTTTTAAGATTAAAGTGGCTGTTCACATCTGATATAGAAAAATTTATTTTCTTGCACTGTTTAAAACGAACATTGTAACGATCGAATGCCCCAGTCGAATATTTACTGTATCGAGAATTTTTCGCGCATCAGAAAACGCGTACATTAAAATTTCATGAATACGAGTATCCCGGAAGATTTTTATTCAAATATCTGGCGAGTTTCACGATGTGGTAGATAAAAAACGATGAAGATATTCTGCAATTTTGTTTACCAAATATTGGCGATACATTTCACTAATTTCCATTTTTAGTCCAACCTTTCAAGCTATTATTCCAAACAATACGTAACACAAAAATAAATAAGAGAATAAATGTTGCAAGAGAAAAACACCTTCCAAGAATTTATTCCATCAAAAGCGACTCTTCAAATTCTCATCTAACAATCACATTATTCACTAGCTTCTGTATAAATAATTCCCTAGAATCTAAACTACATAATGAAGATACGAAGAAGTATACAGGATGTTTCACATATGGTATAATTTAATGGGTAAAATATTCTTATCACAATACAAATTTCATAGAAATATTTTGTACAAAAGTTAGATAGTTTCTAATATTTTTATTCTGCTCGTAAAGCCAACAATTTGGCATATTTTATTTCGCGTAACAAATAAAATCTCGAGATCAATAACGAATAATGTTTTTATAAACATGGAAACAATTATTCGTCATTTTTAATTAAGTAACTTCGTTTTTTATTCGCAGCTTTTACTCGAACATGACTCGAGTAAAATTGTTTTCAAATAACTTTCAAATAAAGCGCACGAATAAAACGAACTTGCCCAAGAATTATAACTAATTTCTTGAATAAAATTTTATCTAGATGATTGTTAAATAATTAATCGCCTTTTATTAAATATTTATATATGGAAAAATTCCTCAAATAAAATTTCATTCGAACCATAGAATTCTTCGAATAAAATTTTATTCGAATTCTGAAAAAATTCTTCGAACAAATTTATTTTTATTCCAGTCTTCTTTAATAGTGTTCCATTCTAACCGATTATCGTTTCCAAACTATCAAACACCACTCATAGTCTCTATCGTGCTTTCTTCAGACACATCGTCATCTCCTATCGTCTCCATTTGCATCAATCTAGTCTTCGGGGAATCTTCGCCCAAGGACCTGTTCCCCGAGAATCCATTCTTGTCCCTAGAATTATTATCTTCGCTCGTGATGTCTCCTTTCCTCTTAATCTCTTGCTGCTGCATCGCATCGCGAGATTCCAGTTGTTCATTACCCTGATAACTGTCATCCATCTGCTCCACCATCTCAGCTCCCATCTGCTCGCCATTTTCATCGATCTCGTAAGACTCCTGATCTTCATGTTTCTCCAATTGCTTCTCCCATCTGCTACTATTAACAATCTCAACGCCATCTCCAACAACCTTCTGCGTCGTCCTGAACACGTTCAACTCCCCTGGAATATCGTAGGAACTGTGTTTTACTTCTGGAGCATAGATCTGTCTGCTATCATCTGATGTCTGAGTCCTTTGAGATTGGACAAATTGGGACCGTACTACTTTTGGTTCTCTTTCATAAGGAATTCTAGGATTTCCCATTGCAGATTGTTGGTTGGACTGAATTTTAGGATATTGGGTATGTTCAGCTTTGGAATATTGGTTGGTTTGAGCTTTGGAATATTGGTTGGTTTGAGCTTTGAAATATTGGTTAGATTCAGGTTTGAAATATTGCATAGGTTCAGGTTTGGTATATTGGACAGGTTCAGGTTTGGTATATTGGACAGGTTCAGGTTTGGTATAGTGGACAGGTTCAGGTTTTGAATATCGGATAGGTTCAGGCGTGATATATGGGCTAGGTTGAACTTTAGAATACTGGTTAAATTCAGTTTTAGGATATTGGATAGTTTCAGTTTTGAAATGCTGGTTAGGTTGAACTTTGAAATATTGATTAACTTGAGTTTTAGAACTAGATTGACTCATAGGATTGCCGTGTATAAAGGAATCACTAAAATACCTATCAGACCTAGAGCTCATTCCAAAATCCTTCTTCGATCTAAAATTTCCCAAATCTGCATTATCAGATGACAGGCTGGATGGTCTTCTGATATGATTGAAATAAGGTTCGTTATTGGAACCAGGCAAATATTTACCCATTCCAAAATCCTTCTTCGTCCCAAAATTCCTGAAATATTCTTCATTACTGATTGACAGACCTGAAGGTCTTCTGAAATTATTAGATGAAGGCTCGTTATTAAAGCTCGTCTCAAAGTCCTTCCTCGCTCCAAAATTTGAAGGTTTCTTTGGATGACCAAAATCAGATTGACTACTAGACAAGCCATAATCCCCAAAATACTTGTCAGGTCCTGTGCTCACGCTAAACTCCTTCCCCGCTCCAAGGTTCCTCAAATCTTCTTCATCATTAGCTAAGGCACTTGATTGTCTTTTGAAATTATTCATAGAAGACTCACTATTGGTCAGGCCATAATCCGCATACAATTTGCTTGAAGGTACCAAGTCAGATTGGTCTTTGATGAGGTCATAGAAATTAGGCTTTCTGTATGGTGTTCTATTTGGAGTTCTTGAAACTGGGAAATGAGATTGATACGAGGATGCTGGATTATTTATACTGTGAATAGAGGTGGTTTGCGAAGGAGCCACGTCAAAATCGAAATCTCGTCCGATGGTAAAGGGATTCTCGCGTTTGCAGGTGGCTGTTGATTTAGTGACAGGTGGGGTCCCTCTGCTTCTGATGGCTCTATCATACGAGGCTCTATCGTATGGGTCATTGAATGGAGAATTGTAGGGTTGCTGGAAGATTGGGTTACGTCTAAATGGTTCGCTGCTCTGCCAAGGACTGCTTTCTGGCTCGAGTCCATGATACTCTCTTCTGGACGTGTCCCTAGAAATTTAGGGTCAATTCTAACGTTTCAGCGTCAATTAAAATAAATTGGGAGTTGTAAGGTAAAAAATATTTTTATGGTGAAAGGTCTAAATTCTTTCAAATTTTCGTCGATCTCTTGGAATTCAAAATTTAAAGGATTCTTTAAATTTTTGTTAAAACGAAAGTTGTTTTAGATAATTTTTTCTTGCAAAACCAATAATAACGGATTAATTTTCATGGTAGAGTCTATCGCTCATTCATTTTTCGGTAAAATGGAAATGGAATTTCCTAAAATTTTCAAGAATTTCAAACAGTTTGATATTTATAAGCTGATGAAATTAAGAAACGCGAAGAATTCGAATTCTCACCATGAAACCAGGGTGTCTGGTCGTTCTCGACGACACGAGGGGCAGGAAGCATGCCTCAGATTTCTCGTTTGTTCTTCTTCGTCCCACCTTCGTAACTGTGGCGATCCAGAGATCGCATTCAACAACAGACAAAGTAGAAGAAGTCGTCTAAAAGATCGTTCGAACATGCTTATATGGTTATTAAAGATCAGACCTCGTCGAGACGCTTTTATAAGCTACAAACGCGACCAGGACATATACTTCCTCTTTGTTGCGTCAGAATCTCGTGTTTCCTTTACGTGGCCGGAAATGAAGATGCATTAATGATTTACTGGTTCGTGTTAGCCTTGATCTCCTTTTCCCTGAGTAACATCAACATTATGATGATGCAATAGCATAAACGTTGAAATACTATTATTATTAAATATTATTATCGTTATTATTATTATTATTATTATATGTTGTACAAAAAATAAATATTCGTTTTAAAGCTATCCTCTTCCTGCCATAATTAGGATATTTTTTAAACACATTTCACTCATTGTACGTCAGTTTCTGGACAATTTCTTGTCAATCGTTTAACTTTCTTTCTACGAATTTATTAAAAATACCATAAATTTAACATATTTAACGTTGATAAGAATAATTATTCCGACGGTCTATTACACAATAAATGACAAATATTCTTGCCATTTTCTGAATAAGAATTATAAATATTATGGATTCCCGTAACGTTCGACCGATTTCATTGCAAATTGTAAATTTGAGTAAATATGGAAGAAAGTGGGGGAACTGAAATTCAGTCTGATATATGAGACGTCATCAAAGTGAAATAATAATAAATAATCCGATTATTTATTGTTATGTTACGCGCAATGTTTCTCTGTTGTTGACAAAAGTGATTGGAGTGAAATACGAGCTGCCCCTAGTTCTCGTTCCACGAATATTTGCATATGTATTTCCAACTAATTTCACACGCGTCGTACAAGCTGTACCTTTTCTTCTTACTAAACCGTCTTCCTGTTCCCCTCAATTTTCACTTTGATCAGGTTAGAAAATTCTTCTTTGATTAGAAAACAGTCCGTAACAATGTAATGAGAATAATTTCAAAAATAAATTTACTTTATAATAATTGACAATAATAACTAAAAGTAGATGAAACTCGTCCATACATTCCTCTTTCTATTTTATTTCACTTAGAATATAATCTATAGGGAGAAACAATAGAAAATAGGAAAATTTTGAAATTGGAATTGTCGGAATTTCTTGGAAAATTATTCTAAAAAAAAAACTCTCGAAATAACGAATCATTACGTTCCCAAATTTTAAGTTCTGGTTTCTCAATCATCGAACTAGTGTTAAGTATCTAGTTACTTTTAAGTACCTAGTTACTTTTTCAAGGATCCTTCACAATCGCAGATGGCGCTACGAATGTTCATCCATCGAATGTTTCTTCGCAGACAGGACACAGACGATGACATAATATCGAAGAAATCACTACAATCAGTCAAGCAGATCATCAACTTTCTGAAAGAACGTAAGGAATTGTGAATTTACAAAGCAAATTTACTGCTAATTAAATTGTAATTATTCGAACGATACATCTTTATTCTTTATTTCCAATACTGTTAATTCTACCGTATAAAAGCTAAATACCGTAACTTCTACTATAAAAGTTAAATGCCATAAATTCTACCCTTAAAACTAAATGCCATAAATTCTATCACAAAGGCTACATAACATTTTCTTGCTGTTATTAACGCACAAAATTTTTTATTAAAATAATGAACACTGTTTTGATACCATAATTGATTAAAAATTATATACACAGGTTGGTTGGTAACTGGTGGTACAAACAGAAAGGGGGTGATTCTACGCGAAAAAAGAAGTCGAAAATATAGAATAAAAATTTTTTTTTTTAATTTTTTCATCGAGACAACGATCTACAGTGGGATCCGTTATAACGTACCGCACGCGTACCGAGCGAAAATTCAAAGTGGATTTTCTCGAGAACAAAGTCTCGGACGAAAAATTGTTATTCTATATTTTCGACTTCTTTTTTCGCCTAGAATCACCCCCTTTCCGCTTGTACCACCAGTTACCAACCACCCTGTATATTTATTTTCGTTTTCTTCCGTAACGCAGTCTGACGTGGTTAGGTTAATTAAAGACTCACAAAACTGCTTTCTGTCTGATTTCAAGATGCTAGAGAGGAAGGGCTATTTCGACGCGCTGGTCGTCGCGATCTTAGAAGACGAATTCTGAACTCGTTGAAGAAAGGCGAGAAACCTCATTTAGGGAACAACGACGCGGCTCTGGAATGCGCAGCCGCGTTGCAACTTTTTTTAATCCATTTGAAGAAACCTGTGATGCCTCAGCACGTTCAACAACTTCTTCTTGGTAGACAAAAGAGTCCTACGTCTTCTTTTAATTGAAAAGATTACCAGGGGAATTGCGAGTCAAATTAACTTTGCCATTTTTTCTTTCCCTTTTTTTCGTTTATTGTTTTTTAAATTGTTTTAAAGACGTTTATTGTCTTTTAAATAAATTTTAGGAGATTCTGAACATTGAAAGATTCCTTCAGTGATTTGGGAAGTTTTATCTAATTTCGTGAGGTTTTAGTTTCTTTAGAAAAAATCTCTAAAGTGATTGTGATTTTTCGCCTAATTATTAAAGTGAATTAAACAATTGAAGAATTCCGTATAACAGTTCATACAATTATTCACTAACATACAAGATAGAACTTTTGAAAAAGCACTTTGGCATTTTAATTACTGAATGGATTAAAAAAATTGAAAATTCTTTGAATAATAGTAAATGCAACTATACGTTAATTAGTAAAATTTCATAGAATTAACATTTTTATCCTATAGAGAAGAATACTGAATAATTAAAATCTGTTTTTATTCTTCATCAACGAAAATTCTTTAGAGATCTAATCGAAGTAGGATTTACGTTTTATTCTCATAAGCATACAATTTCTTTCTTATATTTGAATTTTCCTTGTGTTTCCTTCCTTCTTTAATTAAAAACCACCCTGGCTTCTAACTGTTACGATCTCTATTTAAGCATCGTAAAAAAGGAAGTTAACTGGTGGGGAATCCTATTACGAAGATCACGAAATCTCAAGCGGCGATTTTTCTCTGAATTTAAAAATTTATTTACTTTATATTTGGACAAACATTTTTATTAAATCCATTGAGAAATAATTAAGAATCTGTAGGAATCTAAAGAAAAATATAAGATCTATAGAAATCTGAAGAAAGATACGAAATCTACCTATCTGTTTGTCCAATAGAAATTAAAATCCCTAGAAATCTAGAGAAGATTGTGTTATCTACGGAAACAGAAAGAAAAAATATAAAATCTAATCATGTCTATGTCGGATAAAAACTAAAATCTCTAATAACTCAATGAATGTTATAATATTTAGTTTATCTTCATATCCAATAAAAATTAAAATCCCTAGAAAAAAGGTTTGCCAATTTATATATCATATGTTTATGTTCCCTCTCACTTTCACATGAAATTACTCTTACTTAAACAAATCCATGAAACGCGGCATATCTGTTTGCGATCTAGCCAAACGATACGAATCATCGATTAAATTAACGAGTCCAGCCATCATAGCGTTAAGTAATAATTCCTCGCGTTACCTAACCGCAGATATTTGGAAACAATATGCACTCGTGTTCCCCTCCTGACATGGTTTCGAATGACCACGTTTCGACACGATATTCTACGCTATAAAAGATCCTGATACGTGATACGTGCTGGTAATTAAAACCGACTGACGCTCGTTATAGAAACAAACGAGAATTACCAAACTGCCTATCCGCGAAATTTTATTGTTATATCACGTTTCATTTCCTCTTCTCTCTTCTGTGTAATTTGTAGCAGTACTTTTATTTAGATATAATTGAAATAATGATTTTTGTTTTATTTTTTGAGAATTTTACTTTCTTGAAATGTACGATTATCGTATTTTATAGAGAAAGATATTTGTAACTTATAAAATCCATATCTTGGTAATACAAAGATCTAAGTGAATAACTTCAAGCGTACCACCTAACTAATATATAACTAGAATATAACTAGAACGAGCGTTACCAACGTTAGGTACAAATATTTAATTTTTATTTTTCTCAACTTGGTCATTCGCAGATAGAATTTGTCTATTTAAGAAAATAAATAAATAAAAATTCATAATTCCTTTTCTTCGCATATAAAAGTATTTATCTGCATACGAGCATCGAAATAAAAAGAACCAATGACTGAATGATAATTTTTCGTAAAACAGCTGACAATCCCGGAGTGACTGCGCACATGATCGCCAAGGATGCACTAGGATTGATACGACAAGACGTCGGTGGTCGTCACGGAGAGCTTCTAGCCGGCCTTCTTGATTTACTCAGACACTTGACACTCTCTGGCCCTCCATCCGAAAGATCAGAGCTTCGTGGATCACCGCTTCCAATCGCACTTCTTCCAGTCTTTTTTACTTTGACGGTAAATCATTCTCGACACGATCGAATGAATAGAAATCAAAATTGTTATACTACGTAAAGATCAGATTCTATTTTACGATTTCCCTAAATTTGTTAAATTATCGAAACTATGATTTATAAGGTTAGATTCGTTTCCATTGTTTGACTACATTGTTAAGGCTAGACTATGGATGTTCATGCAAATTCATATTTTTTTTAAATTTAATTATTAACACTAGAAATACTGCACTAAAACACTAGGGAATTCCATGTTATGCAGTGCATTTTTGGTACTATTAATCCAACTGGGACCATGATCCCTAAATGAGCGTTGGCACATTTATAAAATTGTAAACCCAGTCGTTTTCACTGGTGTGGTAGGTTCCGGTGTTGAGAGCAGACTGTGCATGTTTATGCAGATTCACATTTTTTAAAAATTTAATTATCAACACTAGAACTACTGCACTAAAACACTAGGGAATTCCATGTTATGCAGTACATTTTTGGTACTGTTTACCCAACTGGGACCATGATCCCTAAATGAGCGTTGGCACATTTATAAAATTGTAAACTCAGTCGTTTTCACTGGTGTGGTAGGTTCCAGTGTTGAGAGCAGACTGTGCATGTTTATGCACATTCATATTTTTACGGGGCACCTTATGTTACTTATATGACGTTAACTGGCCCAATCGAAACCGGTATCAGCTTCCTCTTTGTGAATATATGTATAGATATACACGTACATAACGCTCCTTTGTTATAGCGTATTCGCAATTTTTTCGAGGCTGTGCAATTCTTGAGATCCCTTCGAGCGGAATGGATCGTTGATTCGGTTTAACCCAAAGAACAGAAACAGCCACGAAACGAATCACGATGCAGATCGACAAGGATTTTAACGCGATTGATCGATCGTTTTGCTGTTACAGCCGGCCGATCTGGTGAAATGGAAGCAAGTGGCCGCCAGATTCAACGAATTAATTACCGAGGCCCCCGAGCAACTGCAGCTGAATGAAAATCGATCGTGCGAAATGGAATCCGCCAGGCTATCCGTCGAGAACACGGACAACGTAAGAAACAGAAACTTTCTTAAGGTTTAGAAAAGATTAATAACGATCTTGCAAGCAATCTCAAACGTGATTCTTCTTCATCTAACGGGAGAATTTATTTTTGATGAGAAATCAAATAGATATATATGAGAGAGGAGAAATTTTCGTGAAGAGGTCAGCTTTTCTTTCTTATTTGATGGAAAGAAAATTGTGGTTAAGAATGTGGTAGAGATAAAAGGTTCTTTCAGTAGATTGAAAAGATGGTAATATATTTGAGAGAATCCAAATATAATATTGTGGAGGATTCGAAGCTAACTTAAATTTAAAACGAGTTTTACTGAAACATAGTCTAAGAATAAACTAAATTCAGACCTAACCTAAACCGAGTCGATGCTAAACTTAATTTTAATCTAAGTTAGACGTGAAACATATTCAATGCAAATCTAACCTAAATTTAAATGAAATTCAATTCAAACCTGTCTCTAAGCTAAATCAGTTCAATCCAAAACTAATCTAAATCCAGAATAAATTCAATTTAAAGTTAACCTAAATTATCAAACTAAGTTCGATCGAAATCTAGCGAAAAGTAACATAAATTATCAAACTTAATCTGAATTAAATTCAATTCGAATTCTACCTTAAATCTGAATTCAGTTGAAACCTAACCTAAACTTAATACTATTATGCTATGTCTATAATTGAGCGCTTCTTATAATCTAGAAATGGTTAATATAAAGCAGATAAAGGAAAAAGAAGAAGGATAAATAAAAAGTGCCATTATTCCAATATCGTTTCTTTACTGTAGAATAATTTTTTGCGTGAAAGAATTCGCTGAAGCACAGCCACGATTTTAATAACAAATTTACACAAATGTCTCTTTTACCGTTTTAGGTTAGGTTGGGGAGATAACTAGGATTCTTGCTGTGCCGTTGCATGGCCCGCCGGCAAGTAGACTTCATCCAGTAATTTCCAATTCGAATCGAAGCAGCATACAAATGTAATTCTTTCGTATAAATGTAAGAGAATTGTGTAAATTACTCGTACTTCCGTTCAACCGATGACAATCACAGAAACCTACATTTTCACCTAAATTATTTCTTCTTCTTTTTTTTCTTTTTTTTCGAAAAAAAGCAACTATTATAATTTCATTTTTTTTTTTTACCATTTATAGTTTACAGTGAAAAAATCTCTGGTTCATGTGTAATGGGATAAAAATTGAAATACATATACGTTACTTTAAAAATATTGTAACGATTTGGAGAAGTCTTATGTATTTAGATTAGACATTGTTACTTTGTACTTGTTTGTTTAGAAATATACAGAAATATACACACATTGTGCATAGTAGAAGTTTAATTGTAACGTCGGTCTATGTAAAGAAATGCCTTGCCTTGTAATGCTTTTTATAGTTACGCTGCGATTAACAATAACAATCATCAAACTATTGTACGTACTTTCTATCAAACAATATTCACTTTTTATTCGGAAACTACGAGGAAAAATTAAAATAAGTATTCAATGAGTCATGGTTTGTCTCGTGTTTGAAGAACCATTCAATTTCTAGAATTCAAATGAAATATTCAAATAAATATTCAATGGGTCTTGATCTGAAGAAATCAAAAGAAAGAAAAGATCATACACGCGATCAAAATGATCATTAGCAATGCTTAGGACGTTCTAACGTTTATCTGAACGTCAGCGTGATCGTTAAGGCATTCGAATAATCGTACCTAACCTCTAAACTTAGCAGAAGGATTTCACGAAGCAGTTGACGCGTCTCATACACGCCAGAAGCCCATTGTCTAACCCGCTATTGCTCCTCGATATTCCATTAAGGCGTTCGACAAAGCGTCACGCGAGCTAAACTGAGAAAATGGCCCTCGGAAGCGGGCCATTTACAGGCAACCATATGAGCGTCCTAGAAAGGGATGTGCAAGCCTGAAAACGCGCGATACGCTTTCTATCAGGACGTTTAGTATTCCTCTTAACGACGTTGCTCGAGACGAAAATGCAGATCAGAAATTGGGATCTCGATGGAAGAGCCTGTGCAACGTACGAGGTCTGATGAACGACAGGAAATTTGACACGACCGTAACGACGATCATGTCGAATGAACTTAAATTGTATTCTGATGGCAGGAAGAACATGCAGAAGATGGCGTCGAGAAATTGCGCTCGATGGCATTTTCAGATAAGACGTTCGTTGAGTTGCACGAATTCTGTTGATGGTATTGGGTTCCAGGATGAAGCGAAGGAGGTAAATTAACCTATTGTGCTCTATGGAGGTATACACATTACACAGGGTCGAATTCAAGTTTTCGAGCTCTGAGACTATTGACACAGCGGAGACCTTGGTAGAATTAAGTGGGAAGGAGTTAAAATGAAATTTTACGTAAATGTGAAATAAAACCTATTTTCTGATAAGTTATACTTAAAATTTGTTAAAAGACATTATACACTTTTAAAAGAGAGTTGTTCATTTTTCAATTTTTCCTAAATTAAACGAGTAAATTAATCATTATAGTCGTAATATAAAATGTATTTTTATCGAATAGCGACCCCCGTGGAAAGGCAAGACTTGAAGCTGTAGCTTCCCTGAAGCGACACCTGACATATGCAGAATGTGCCAGTAACCGTGATACAGTCGGCAAGGAAGTAATTCTGTATGAAAAGATAAACTGGAACAGTTTAACAGTTTAACAGTCGATAACAAGAATCTTTTTTATGAGTTTCTAATTGCGTTTTTTGGTTTATGGAAGGAAAAGAAATTGATGTTGTTCTTTTTTATCTTCGATATACGAGTTAATGGTGAAACGAAGATCGGAAATAAGACTCTTAAAAATAATTTTGAATCGCGATATACGCCTTATATAGAATTATACGACTTATCTACTTTACGCTACTTTATCTACTAAAATACCACTCTTAAATTATGCATGCACTTAATTAAATCTTACTTATAAATTATATCTTACTTATATATTAACCGTTGATACAAATAGTAAGCACTTATTTAAAAATACCCTACCTAACCATAAATCTAACTTAAAAGTATCCTACCTACAAATTTCAAAAATCTCTACCTAATCGAAAATCTTATTTCATCTGCATCGTAAAATGTTTTCATGAGCCCTATCTATACAAATATCTATTTGTAGTGAAGCGATTGCAGGATGGGGAAGGGGTAAGGACTGCTGTACAAAATCTTGGACACTTATCATGCATCTAGAGTCGTTACGGTCGAAAATACTCAAAATAATAGTCAACGCCCCATGGTATGTCAGAAACAAGGATATACACAAAGACCTAAAAATATCAAGGGTCAAAGAAGAAATCAACAGATACGCACAAAAATACAAAGAAAAAATGACAACACATCCAAACCAGCTGGCTGTTGAAACGAGCAAAACCCACATAAAAAGAAGACTAAAAAGAAAACACCCCACTGATTTCACTAAAGAAATAAAATAAACAAACTCGAAGATGGTATCCCTCTGGGGGTAACCATCCACATGTTATTTAGCAATAAAATTAGAAAAATTTACCAAATATCCAGCTGGACAAATTGTAAAGTACAAATTAAATAATAAAAAAAAAAACTCTAAATAAAGAACACTGAAAAAGAAATGACTCTACCAGCCAAACGGGCCATCAAAGGGTATCCACTCGATATAAACCCGAGCAAACCGTGAGTGGAACGTGAATTCTATGTATTTCGCAACTCAAATTTATTACACGTAACTTACGAGTGCTTTATTACATTTTCAATGTTAATCAATCTACTATTGACAAAAAAAAAGAAAAAAAAATAGAAGATTCCCGCGTGAATTATTTATTTGCGCAACACTAATAGCTATTAACCTATGCACTCAGGTGTTTAAATATTCGCAACGCTAAAAACGAGACATCCAGTGCAGCCATCTGTAAGACTGCTGGCGTAACTGCATCAGATCATGCAGGATTGTGTTTCCACAGTCCAGTGGAAGAAGATTAGGCATGATACAGGCGCAACACTACTTCGAAGAACGCGGTCATTTGTCAACGCAACTCTAATTAATCAAATATCAAATCAATTAATCAAAATAATCGCGATGGGAGTCCGCAACACTAATTCTTAAAACAAAAATAAAGTTAATTTCCATACGTGAATACTACATACTAATTGCAATGCTATAAAATTAATGAGAAGTTAGCGTTTCTAAATTTAGCTTTAAACGACAGGTAACAAGATAAACTCTAACGTATATTACTCTGTAAACAGTTCTAACAACTCAAAATCAAAATTACTAAAGACAATCGCGATGTGATAACCCGCAACACTAAAACAAACACGATTATCGTCATCTCGCAACTCTAATTCAAACCGTAATCAGTCTCTCGTGACGCTAATAGAAAGCCGCGAAACTTTCCCGCAACTCTGACTCAATTGTAAAATCTAAGCTCGAGACTTCTAAATCGCAAACAAAAAAAAAACTTATAAAGGTGAAATAAAAATATAAACCGCGGAAGCTGATTGAAGTGCGCATGGACTGACCAACGATCACCGCCGTGATCGTTGCCCACTCGTATGTGCGTGCTCGAGCGATAAACGTTCGTTTCGAGCCCATTCGCGACCGCGACCGCGAAATTCGAAAAATCGATAGGCAAAACCAGAGACGAGAGCATGCTCTGCTCGTGCCAGTTTCACCGTCGATTTTTCAAATTAGATTTCCAGAAACAGGTTGGTCACGCGAAAACGCGCCTACCCGACCAGAGACTGTGCCAACCTGCCCGGCCCTACCTACTTATAGTTATAACAGACACACCAGAAAGTATACTACCTATCCTACCTAGCGCTATATTTAAAAAATGGCAAAACGGGCACACCAACACACACGCTCCACGGTTCTCACGCAAACGCTCGGGCGCAAAGGTCCTACACTAGAGAGGACGTCCCGGGACGCCTCCGACACCCGAGCTTAACACACACCATGCACACTCTAAGGTACGTACCGTTTTCCTGAAATCGACTGACGAAGGCTAGAGGCCATTGCGTGCAAACACAATAAAAATGAAAGAATAAAAAACAAAGAGTGTGTCTATTTCTCAAAAAAATATTAAATGATACGAAATCTGGTATGATTTATTAGAATTTGATGACAAAAAATTAATAATATTGCTATCTACAGTTCCATATTTAACAGGGAGTCTGTTTCTACAATTTGTGATTGAAATAATATTTGTGTAGATTTATTTTGTTATTATTTAAATTTATAGTGTAGGAAATAATTGAAACGACGCAATTCCACAGCCTAACAACACACACACAATGTGAAAAGTACGTCGTGCACGATACACTAACGCGTCGTCAGTCGCTCAAACATTATCATTTTATAAATGGTCATCGTACCCATTGCCTTTCTCCCACCCAAGTAGCACCTGGACACGTGAGCGAGATCCTGGCAATGATACGGAAAAGATTAAACCTGAAAATCCTAACTAAAAAAATTATTAGTACGTCTGTTTTGTATTTAACAGGCTAATCTTTCTGCATTCTGCATCTTCGAATTTTATCTCAAGTTACTATCACTGTATTTTCTATTTTGGCTAATTTAATAAATTACAACAATTCTAATACTGAAATTATTTATAGAAAACACAAACAAGACCAACTTAATGATTCACTCAAATAACTGACTTTATATTTTAATTAATTATTAAAATTCTAATTTTCTAATATATTTCTAATAATTCTAATTCGTATTAAAACAAAATATTAACAATAAGAAGTTTGTTTAGTAACTGACTCTAAATTACATGTTAATGCAAGCCTCAGGCAGTCCCTTTGTCAAAGCATATTTTCGAAAGCACAAAAGCAATGTTCAGAATTTGTAGCTTTGATTCCGAAATCTGACAGTCGCGAAGTTTCTTCTTGCACAAGAAATTGAATACATCTTTGTACGGTACGAATTGAACATTAATATCTTTATATTTTTCTAATTAATACTTAAATTCAAATATGAAAGACAAACAATTAAATTCTTTAGAATATTATGTTCAGAGAACACAAGATGAAATGAAAAAAAATTTATTATTGTCACTATCATTATGCAATAATTGGAATTTTTCATGCAACGAAATCGGAGGGTATTCGATTTCTCTGCAAGGAAATATTTAACCAAGTCATTTCAATACATATTATTTATTCAAATATTCACATTTCATTTATATATGTATATTTGGCTTTTGCAAATATTTAAATTAATGCTTGATATAATACTGTTTGTATCAATTAATATCATTATATTAATATTATGTAATAATATAATATTTCAATCGGCAATGACATTATTATTAATATAAAAAAAGCGATGTGCAAGAAGATATATCCTGAACTAATATATAAAACACAGATAAGAAAATGTTACTACTCGCGGGTATAATAAATACCCGTGGTCACTATGCTCGTCAAAAATTCTACGTAATACAACCAGTTACCCGTGTCGATTCGAACCTTTCATCCTACGACATGATTGAGTGACTAGAGGAACATAAATACATGCAACTTACAATTACATGCAAAGAATGTTGTCCTTTATATCGTTGTGAACCAAGGAAAGTCATCGTGAAACCACCATTAAATCAAAAAAACGAAATCTGGAAGAAATTTGTAACAAAGTTTTAACAAATATCTGTATTATAATTTCTTCTTAAAGACAGCGTTAATTATTTGAAAAATTTGAAATAATGAATTTCATGAAATTCTAATAACACTATTCCATTCAAGAATGAGTTTAAATTTGTCAAATTTTTGATGAAATTGTATTTTTTAATTAGTAATAATAAACGCAAGGAATAAAATTAAATTTAAAATACAAAGGTAGATACTTACATTCTCAACTTTTGAAGCACTACTAGGTCCTTTTGATGGAACAAGAAGAGGGAGGAGTGAAAAACCTTTAACAAAAAATGAATTATTATAATTAGTTCTGGAACACACAATGATGATTGTTCAAAAAATTTAAGATAATGAGATGTGGCATTCTATGAAAACTTGAAATTTTAATAATAAAAAATACTCTAATATTAAAATTAAAAATCTGACCTTATCCTTTAATAAATATGTAAATACAGCAAAATACAAAGAATAAAATTAATTCGGATAAAATATGCAAAGATTCTTACATGCTTAGTTGGAAAGCACCACTCCATCCTTCCCAATGAACAGGAAAAAGTGAAAAACCTATAACAAAACACGTGAAAAATTATAGTCTGTTCTGAAATATATACTGCTTATTATTTAAAAAGTTCAAAATGATGAAAGATAGAACTCTATACAAGTTCTAAGTTCTGATAATAAGAATTGAAATTCTTATAAAGACTGATTACAATTAAAACCTAAAAATTGTAAAACTGAAATAAAAATTTAAAATCTAAAAATGATAAAAATATAATGATTGCTAAACCATGTTAAACAATTCAATTGTATATTTTAATATTGAAACTGTAATATTCTATTTCAACAGAAACTAATAATAAATCAATTAGAATACGAGTAATAAAATAAATTAAAGTATAGTATACAAAAATACTTACATTCTTGGACTCCAAGAGAGGCTTTATCCTCTTACGAGACCAGCCACTCTACCATTGAAAACGAACGTTTGAAAAAAAGGATTCATAAAAAAAAGAAAAATAAAAAACTACATATTACCGCGCCCGTTCAAATAACAATCGGCGAACACTGACTCTAATTTCTTGTATGATTATTATGATGAAATTTAATGAGAGCTATGTGCTCTAAAGAATATTGAAAATAATATAAGACAACAAACACTGACTCTAACGACCGCATTGCGCGCGATCACAAAAATTCTCTGAAAGAAAAACTTTATTAACGGGTAGGGGTTAAAGAAAAGAAGCAATATATTTTTTTCATATCTCTTTTTCTTCCAACAACTCCGAGAGTTTGTTCATGAAAATATTACTACTATATTAATAACACCAAATATTTAATTAATACATTAAAAATATTATTAATATTGTTAAATAATTGTTAAATGTTTACGATTTCATAATATAATTGATTTGTAAAAATCATACAGTGAATGTCCGCCATTATAGTTTCGAACATAGTTTATACCGATAAAATATGGCGCGCTCTTTTTTACGGTTAAACAAAGCTGCGTAATACGAAAAAGACGCGATGCGCAAAATATGTCCATCTTAGTATTCGTAATGAACCACGAAATTAATTTAGAATTTCGTTCTATTACGTATCAATTATGTTAAGATTATGAATTGTTCGTTAAAAATGTATACTGATCGAATACTAAATAAACGTTACCAATTGTTCAATAATATTAGAAAACAAACATGTAAATGACTTTGTCTCTATTAAAATGAATCAAATGTTACCAAATCTCCACGAGAACTTGTTGAATTCATCGCCGATCACCTTCCATCCTTTTTCATTCCGCGCCATGTTTGTTAATTTCGTGGCGTCCTTCTAATGTTTCCTAAGTTTTCTCATAATCTGCTGGTAATCTCAACAACGAAAGACCAAAACAATAGAATAAATATATTAAAAGAACAAATTGTATAAAAGTGAAACAATGATCAAGGTCAAATTGTTTTTTGAAAGTTCATTATACAAGCTACCGGCAAATGTGACAACCAAAAATATGGTAACGCAACAAAGATAATCAAATAATAGGTTACAGAAGATTGTAATAAATTATTGAGTAGAAACGTACGTTAATTAAAAAATAGCGTCGGTTTCAGCACTAAAAAAATACTATAACAGTACTACCAGGAAATTCCACTTTGCTATTACATTGAAGAAAGACAACACCCATCACGAAGTAATAATAACAAAAACAAACGTCTGGCTGCTTCGAGTTTCGACTCTAAACTGACCCCCGCGCCACAGCTTGCGCAGCGAATTTCGGTTTAAAAAAAGTGAGAAGAGAGATCGCCGACAAGTCGAGCGCGCACTGATATGGTAGTCGCCAAATTCCTAGAAAAGATACCTAATATGCTTTCGAGAGTTAGCATATTCTGTTCCAACTAAAGAGGTCCATACGTTAGACTGAAATGCAAAGAAAATAAACATGCAGCTAATATAATTTCAGCAAAGAAAATTTATCGGTACTGAAGTATTCTCACAAATTTTAAATTCATTTATCTTCGATTTATGTTTCAGTACTCAGTTAATAAATCAGTATATTTTTTTTTTTTGCTATTTACATACAATGTCGTAAAAGCGTATAACATAAAATATTACGATACAGTTCACAGATATCAGAAATAAAAAATTAGATGATTTGTAATTTATCGAGAATAAAATATTTATTAATTAATTATGTACTGTTGCCTGAGCATTACGAGATAAACCGAAGAAAGGCGCATTTTTAATTTGCAAGAATATTGGACATATTGGTATATTGGCAGGAGCAACAATAGACGCTAAAGGGAAATTTCGTATAAATTCGTCTAGAGGAGGAAAAAAATGCAGTATCGATTATTAATTAATGTTAGAATTTAATCTTGGGATTAAGATTAATAATCTGTGGAAAACACAATGTTTGTGTTTGAAATAATATAATGTGATATTTATTAAACAATTGTTACACGAATTGTAAATGTGCGTTCTGGAATGTAGACAGTTGGCTAGTTATTCACAGACTAACTGGCTTAGTGACCCATGGCCCTTGAAAAGGTTTAAAGTCCCATTCTCTATGCAGTAATGAGTATGACCTGTGTGGGTGCTGTGTGGCGTCACATGAAGCACAGAACCTTCTAGTAGCTTCTCGACGTGCCCATCTAGAATGTTCCATCCATATTCTCACGTTTCTTCGCGTTTTCTGAAAAAGCATGCACGTGCTAACTGCCGTGGTGCATCTCACGAACGCACGCTAGTGGGGATGGCACTGGGCAACGAACGGAAGAATCCGTACGATCAATCACCTTATCTGCATGCGATTGATATCGTTGTATTCCAACAATTAAACATTAATCTTCAACATATTAAACTGCTTGAGACACATTATTGAACAAATGGGGTATCGGGTAAAACAACAACTTTTTTAAAAAAATTACCACTTTAGTATTTTTAACAATAATTTATAAGGTGTCCGAATATTTTTGTGGGATGAAAATTCACTTTGTTCTGACATTTCTTCTAATACTTAAATAACGGTTTGTTTGAAGTCAAAAGTTCTTTAGTTTCTGACATCTAAACATACTATACCTCAATAGATTGCAAAATATTTTTGTTTTTTATGTGTATTTATTTCAGACATAGAACATAGAAGTCAAAGTTATACTAGTGCCCGAATATTTTCGAGATCGACTGTATGTATACATATACAGTTATATACAGTTATAAGTATATGTAACTCTAACTTCGTTTTTATTACATTATTCACTCATGTAGTTAATTTTCATCAACTATTATTATTTATATGTAATATTTATTTACTGATAGTAATTATTTCTATATATATATTTATACGTTATGAATTGTCGATAGCATAATTCTAATTAATACTATTGTCAATATATTATTGTATAATAACTTAAAAATGAGAGAACTGCTTCATATTCTCACAATAATAAATTAAAATTATCTTTGAAAAAGATTATTATCTAAATCTCAATATATAAGGATTATATATTATAATTTCACTATTAATTCTCAATAAATCTGTATATATTATAATTTCATAACTAATATGTATATTATACAATATATTAATAATATTAATATTTTCCATATTCTTTGTCTCCAACCTGTCAATATATGTCCTATCCAATATTCATATAATATAAAAATTCCATTATTTATAATTAATAATCAAACAACGTGTGATTATAATTCGTATTTCGAATTATTTTAATTCCTCAGTATTGAAGATGGCACTGCCAACAAATGTCAGCTCTATGCGATGTAAAATCAAACAAAGGAACAGTTCTTCCCGGTTCTCCGTCGAATGTGGATTGTTGAGCATTATATACAATATGTCAAAAAATGCATTTTATTTCTTTGCTCTTGACTGGGCAAAAGAGCAAAAGAAGCGTGGCATATCTGTCCCAAGAAATATGAAAGAACTTTCATCGCTTTGTAGCGAAGACTGGAAGGTGATATATTTCATATTTCGGCTATTTATTTAACAATTTATTTCAATAATTTAACTGACCACGTACCATTCTTTGAATAAAAAACATTCCAATTTAATAAATAATTCTAATTTAAAAATATATATCATTATTTAAAATACTTACATAATATGAACATTTAGAAGAATTTGAATGTAAATGTTTGTGTTAACATAGAAAGGTCATTTTAACAGTAGAATAACTGACTGAGAAATTTCTCAAACTAATTTTTTTATGTCCCTATATATAAAGTGATATGCAAGAGAATATGTGATATTAATGATTTTTAATAGTTATTTGTTGATAAAATTTTTTAGTGGAAATTACAGTATTTTGTATAATTCTATGTTATCATAGAATCTTCCTCCACATGAAAAGGGAATTTATAAATCTAAAGCAAAAGACAACAAGATTAAAGCTCAGATGACAGTAGGTAACAGAACTACAATTGGTGAAAGTGTAGCTGAGTTAGAGTTAGAGCAAAAGAGACAGGAGGAATTTCAACAAAACATGCTTCAATACATAGAATCTATAGTTGGTGTAGGTGTAAGACATGATAGTAAGTATTCCAAATTAAATCTTCTTTTCTAATAAGAACTTTTAAGATATTGATTAATTATTTAACATTTAATATTGTCATTTGTTACAGACTTGAAAAATTTAAAATTCATATTTATACATGTCAATTGGTTTTATAGAAGAGACATAGGAATTAACAAGTATGACTTTTGTCCTGCAGAATTTGCAATTGCAGAATTTAGTATACTAAATGGTATTCGAAACGTATACCATGAAATATTAAAGGTAAAAATACCTTTAGGATGGAAAAGAGATGCACTAGAAACTAGTCAGGAAACGCACCAAATCCCTATAGAATTAGATGATGGAGAATATGACTTTGCACTTATGTATGATAAGTTCTCCAAATTTATGGAACGTAATAAGACTGGGAGAAGGTATCCTCCATTGTTCACTCTGAAAAATGCATATCCTATTGTGGAATCACTGCTACAGAGATTGAATGAAGCAAGTGGTAACTATAAATATTTATAACAGTTTACAGAAGATAATACAAAATTTTGGCAACATTTTTAATTAATAATTGTATTTTAGGTCAATCTGTTGACGACTATCTAATCTATTCGATAGAAGCACTGTTTGGAGAACTACGAAATGCTGCTGTACGGAAAATAGACAAACGTGGCATTCCTCTTGTTCTTGCCGAAACGGAATTTGCAAAAGACTACTTATCCACTATGCGTGGCTTCGAGTGTGAAGTATGCATACAAAAAATACTTCCAATCATTAATACTATATAATACCCTTAATAACAGCTTATTTTGATTTCCATATAGTTCCATAAAATTGTAGATGTAGCTCAGTACTGCAGTAGATCCATAATAACAAGATGGGGTATGACGATATGTGATTATTGCTGTGAATACCTGAATGTTGAAATGATCGAAGGTGTGCATCGCCCATACAAGAATTCCTTCGACATTAATAGACAAGATACTGCTAGCGGAAGAACTGATAACATTGATCTGAAGATGAAGACTTTAAAAATACTGGAAAACAGGGTAACAATTGCTGATATGAATGGAGTGAGTAATAAATTATTGATTTTTAGTATATAAAATTATGTGAGAAAAAGAGAGAGAGAGAGAGGGTGATATTGTTTCATATTCTGACAAGTATAAATTTTTTTCAATATAATTAGGTATCCAAAGAGTATAGGGATAAGGTATCTACACGATCTTACGAAGAAGAGAAAAATAGACGAATGGAGAATAAAGTGGTCATAGTTGATCATGCTAAAGCTAGTACATCCAAATCCAACACTGCAGCTGTAAGTACAAGTGTTTCAAACCGTCACGGCTAAACTTCCAAGCAGTTAATTAGAATGTACAAAGTATACAATTTGAAAATAATTTATTTCTCGAACTTTTAGCTAAATTTGCCAATGCGACCATTGCGTGCACCTAAAACAATGGGTAAGTATATTTTTGTGTCCTACTTACATCGATTTTGTACGATATAACTAAATATTTTATAATATTTTAGCTAAAGCTCTTAGTGGAACACAGGAAGGCTTCGAGCTTCTTAACGATGTTACCAATTTTCCACCAATTGGTGAGACATTAATTTCTAGAAATTATTTTTTTCTTTTTAAATATATTTTATGAATTTCCAATTACCTATATTTCAAAGAAGAGTTAAAAAGCTATAATGTATACAACAAACAAAAAAATTATAACGAGTATAAAGAAAGTGTCAATGAAAATGTATACTTTGTACACGGTAGCCTTGAGAAATCACTTACCCTTAATGGTGAGGTTAGAGTTTGGCTAGGGTTAGGTTAGGGTGTCCAACTATTCTACTTTGTGTATAGAGTGTAAGAAAAATATCAGATTATTTCCATATTACCAGTTTATTCGGTGAAAATTAATTAGATAAAAATACCACATAATTGACTTTCCCTTAAAATTTCCAAAAATTTATGATATGCAATATCTTTATTTACATAATCTCTCTTAAATCAACGACAGAATCAGTTTTATGAACCGTGACGTATGCTTATCTTACATCCTATACATAAATAAAAGTAGTTGAAAACCCCACCGCTAGGTGGTTTCTTTAGAGTACCATTTCTCGCTAGGAAATTTAGGAGATACAGATGTTATATTCGGAAAGAAAATCAGAACTGGTATCGCTTCTCGGCCTTATGGCTAAGATCAAAGTGTAGTATCTGTTCTTATCAGCTTAATATCTGATACACTTCCCATTGGGAAGTCAGAATATTAAACTGATTTTTGGAATCTGACGGAGGGTTGGTGCTTGCTCCACCTCTGTCGTGAGTCAGCCTAGCATTGCAGTGCCGCTAGGATTGGCTTGATAATTTATTTAAAAACATAAAATGACTTTTGAATTTATTACTTTGAACGTTATTTTGAACATTATTTTTCTGAGTAAGATATAAGGTTTAATTGTAGTGCCTTTCTATCTACAAAATGTGAAAGTTAATTATAGTAACTTAAGAAAAATAGTGCACAAATAATTTCAGTAAAATATATTATAATAAATAAAACATATTAATATTTTGTGTAAAAATATTTTTCTTTACTTTTAACGGGTTGTATGGTACAATTTATATGAAATATTTCTAATTTTTTAATTTTTATTTGTTTCAATATAGGAGGACGAGGTACAGTTAAAAAAGATACTACAAAGTTCAAGCTGCCTTTGGGCAGAGGTAAAATTTTATATATTAAATTGAATCTTAATATACAATTATGTTTGAAGATTTTATAATAAGTTTTACTTTACATTTGTATGCAGGACGTGGAAATTGTTAGGACAAATAGCTTTTGGTACGAAAGAGATTGGACTTTTTCTGTGACAACAAATTCGTATGGAATCTTTGAAATACACTCTTACAAATAAGACTTACATAACTTGTGTGTAATTTGTTTTATGAAAAAAGAACAATATTTTGTTACAAACTTAGACATAAAAAAAGATGAAAGATAAAGACACGATCTGTTACCAAAGTTCATAAAGAAAATATACGATTAATTTTTAATGAAAGTGAATTTTATTATCTAAACCTTGAATCTCAAAATAATTTGTAATTTTGTTATTACAAGATTTAGAATGCTAAACTGCTTTATAAAAGTTTTTGTGATTTTAATTCTCGTTCTGTTTTCATGCCGTTGTGTTTTGGATATATCTTAGACTATGTATAAATATTATTCAAGAAAGGTTAAAGTTATCAAAGAATGCGAGGGTTTCCATAAATGATAGTATTTCGTGGAATTAGTCTTACTTCTTACAAGTGGCTGATTCGTACATTCTTTGCGTGCATGGCTGACTCATACATTTCGAATTGGCGACGGCGTGCCGCCGAGTTAGATAACTATCTATGTATATATGTTATTTCGAAACATAATATGTATAAACAAAAATTATTTATTAAAAATAAAATGGATGGAATTCATTTAACAGACCTTAATTTTTAAGTCATCAATATGGTAATACTCTATGAACATATAGCTCCTTACTAATGGAATTCTTTATTATACGTTATATTTTTATACTTACACTTGAGTAAAACTTTATTATTAAGAAAAATTCATAAAAGAATGGTCTGAAATTATTTATTCATTATCAATTTCATTGGCTAATGGGTCGATATTGTTAGATCACGAAATATAGATATTCTCCCTTCTATAATTCCGTTTCCTCGCCTGATGCCTCCATAATGTTCCTGTGCCTCTGTTGATAGCAGAGCAAATAAGTAGGATTTCATAATACAAAGATATATGCTTAATTTTCCGTTCTTTTCCCAAGTATATACATATACCCACTTTTCTTGAATATACCTTTACCAATATTTTGATTTTCCGTCAAGTTGCCATCAAGTCTAGCAAGAATCTATAAGACAAAATGACGATCGAAGAGAGATTCTTTTATCCTTTACTATAGTGCTTTTGATAAAAATACAAAACGTTCAAAATTATGTAAGAGAAATAATTATATATAATTTGTACCAAAATGTTGTTTTTATATGCTTATTAAATTTGTATTAAAATAAACAAAACTGGAGGGGAAATATTGTATATAAAAAAATCAAATTATCAAAATAATTGTAATTACGTATTATTAATATTACATTACGGGAATTTATTACAAGGTTTAGACATATATTTATTTGTATAGATTTTGTTTATATACAAATTTGGTTATATTTACATCGTCTTAAATTTTATTTACAAAATGAGAAATTCTTACAAACACCAACATATAAAACAAAATAAAAATTAAGGAATCAATTTATCCATAATAATAATCTCACTCATACTTTATTAATAATATAATACAATTACCATCAATGACAAAACATTATGTTATAACACAGACGACTTGTATGTACTTATAACTACATATATTTATTAAATGTAACATCACATTTCAAGTAGGATATTCAGTTTACTTCGATCTGACATACATACTGATATACATAATATGTAAACATAAAGGTTAGAATTAGCATTTAAGAGAAACAAATTTCAATTGCAAAAAGGATACACATTACACATGAGAGAATCAACGCATAAAGCGAAGTGAATGATACTTTTGAAATAAAAGACCGGTATACTGTATCACGAAACAAACGTCATCAAGCAATTTTCTCTGACACAATCGATGCATTCGGCTTGGCTTAGTAACACAACACGTCAGTACTTTGAAGATGTCGTTAGGTCTGCCTGGACAGGACTGAACCTGCACCGACTTGTTCCTAATTCCTGAGAAGGTTCCTGAATCATCCAACCCGTCGCGTTGGAAACAGATTTAAAATTCGCATCCCGTTGTTCCGCGAAAGAATAACTCCACTCATACTAATAGTAAATAAAATAATTTCGTTAGTAATTAATCATACATTGTCTTATACTTACTACATAAAATATGAAATATATCTTAAATTTGTATTTTGCTAACACTTCTCAATAATTGTTCAATTATTTAATTAATTCAGGAAGGATTAATTAAAGATTTACATTCACTCTATTACTTATCTTGAATTATATTAATTATATTCATGAAAATGGTTCATTATCATTATTGTAATTATATGCCGAATATTATAAAGATATATATATAATATTATTATAATATTATATATATTATATTATATATATTATATTGTTATAGATAGATTGCGTGTGTGTGAGCGCGCGCGCTTGTGTGTATGTGTATGTAAGACAGCGCAATTTTCTGTTTGCAAAGTGTTCTGCATTGAATTAAAATATGCGTCGGTATAATAGAACCATTTGAAAATTTTCATATAGCAAAATTTTGTTCAACAATTGTTATATATACTGTTTTTGCAAACAGATATTAAATAGACTTCAGTGCTTTGCGAAAAGCAGCTTTATTTATTTAGTTACGCGTTTATTTTTGTATCATTTTCTGTTATCTGATCTTTCGGTAATTCTGCCAATTGTCGGTAGATGGTAGCGCGACAACTGTTCTGACAGTTCCAAACTTCATTTACTTTTAAAACTATTACATTCATTAATTTAACAGTACAATCAGTAATTAAGCTTCAACAATAAGGATATTGCAATAGTTATATCTTTGGAAAATTAACAGTCCTAATCACATAACAAATCTAATATTAATAATAAATTCGAAAGAAATAGCTTAATTGCTGATTGCCGTGTTTCCGCATAACTGTTTCCAAGCAGAAAAGAACAGCCATCTTTTCGAAGAGATGATGCAATCGATGACACATATCGACCGTATCTCCGATCGCTTAGCGAATCATAGAAATTGTTAACCGTGGATTTTGGCGAACGAAATCGGAAAACAAAATATGAACGAAAACGGTTCTACTTTAGCGATAAAGTCAAAAACAGTTCTCATCAAACTATAGCCTATCGGATGTTAAGCGAAAGCCGCCAGCTGGGAGTGCTATTTTGAACGAAGTACAACGTTGCCAGTTCGTGAGGCGAACAAGTTCAAACACGTGCCCCGTGTTTTGCTCTTGGAAAGAGATAACTGCACAGCCTGGCAAAACAGAATGTTTGCTTTCCACTTGGTTCGCATTCATTTCCCGTTTACGTCCGCAAAACCATCTAAAAAAACGAAACAATAATTCTACACTCCTTAACAGCAAATTATATTCTCGACATATCTATATCTTACAAACTTGTGTCACATGTTTACAACATTAAAACATGCAAATATATATTCAAACGAAGAGGGAAACTTAAATCTGGAAACGACCAAAGATATTATGTGTTATAGTATTCCATATTTTATTTATCCTTACCCCAATTTGGTTCTCTTTTACAAAAAATTATCATACTTTGATAATTAAGGTGATTGTATGTTATAATGTGCATTTATGTAAAATAATGTTTTAATTTTGGGAAGAATTTTGCAAAAGACATGTTCGAGACTTCGAGAGTCACCAGCTGGACAAGAAAGTTCAGGTTCGTCGGAGAACACATGGCAACGCAGCAACTGCGTGAGCCGAGATGCGCGGCATGAATAGCACCGCGACGTTGATGGGCCGGCCCTATGTCAGGGGAATGGTGGGGGAAGGGAAGGGGTAAAAGTTTCCACGACAGTGGGGATGGGCGGAAACGGTGAAACGAAAGGGGGATGCGATACCGCTCTGCGTGTGGTGGTCGTCGGTGAGGGTAATATAACCGAGGTAATGTTACCAAGTTGCTGTTTACGGAGAGTTTTTGGAAATTTCAAAGGGGCACATCTAGTTTCCCGGTTAAATTCGAAGCGCGGCAAATCGAATCGTCCAATCGTGATTATGGAACCGCTATACGTTAACTTATACGTCGGGGAACATATGCTACATGAGAATCGAACTAACGGGAATAGTTATCTTGGAAATACGTATACATGATGCGTTTTGCAAATTATCGAACGCATTGATAATGTATACATATATCGTATACGCTTCCGCGTGGAACTTTCTGCGCGCCAATCGATTTGAAACCCTGCCACTGCAATTTTTCTGCCTCAGAACGGAAATTCAATATTTTACAAAAATGTTTAACGTAACGAGTGATTTCAGTATTTTCATCAAACTTAAGAAATTTGTTAACAACTGAATCGAAGGACGTAGGACTAAATTAGAAATATAAAATGTTCAGATGCAACCAATATTACGTTGTAATTACAATGTATACTAATAGCTCGAAAATGCTTCTATGTAAGTGGCTGATACTTATCTGGTTCAAACTCGAACAATTTACTGAGTCGAAAGCAACTTATAATGAAAGATGTAGTAGGGTTAAGTTCAAAACCTAAAATGTTCAAAAACTATCAATACTATGTATTTACATTATAATTATAGACTACACTAATAATTTAAAGAACTAATTTTGTATAGGTAGTTGATAGTTATAACTCAGACTTAAGAAATTTGTCGTCACGAAAGTAACATGTAATAAAAGACATAGCAGAGTTAAGTTGGAAATCTAAAATGTTCAGAAATTACTAGTACTATATACATTGTAATTATGAAATAATAATGGTAATAACTTTAAGAATTAGGCTTATATAGGTAGTTAATATTTATAGTTGAAACTTAAGAAATTTATCAAGTCGAAAGTAACTCTTAAGGAAGGGCGTAGTAGGGCTCGGTAGAAAACCTAAAATGTTCGGAAGTTACTACTACATTATAACTACAAACTATACTGTACCAATTTGAAGGATTACTTCTACCTCTTAAGGTATAATAAATAATTTTTCTATAGTTCTAAGATAGACTAATCAAGGTGTGTTTATAGGTTAAGGAAGGTTCCCAGTTAAATAAATTGCGTTGCTCAAAAGCACTCGGTTTGAAGATTCTCGAGAAACGTCGGAGTATAGTGGTAGGCGCATTGGTGACGGTGAAATCGTGGAGGGGACGACCCCTCCTGCCCTACTCCGGTGCGCGCAACGTCATTGTGCCGTGTGGGGCCATGATCGTTGGAGTGTGTGTGCGTCCCTCGAGCTACGCGCAGACCTACCCAGTAAATACGAGGCTTCCGTTCCCTGTGCGTGTCGAGTGTTGAAAC